TATACGTAGATCCGCGCCTACACGATTCCTACAAACTATAGTCTCTTGTTAGACACGATTACGTATAGTAGTCTATAATATTAGTAGAAGTATTATATAAATGTATTAGCTACGTCCTCTACTCTAATCTATACTATTAGTTTAAGAATTACTCCTTTACTTAACTAGTCTATAATAACTATAAGGTTTGTATAACCCTTACTCTTAGGTAGGTCGACTATAAAGTCGATTAAAATCTCTTTTTATATCTAATTAAGTATAGGTAAGGGTTTTAAGAATCCTTACTTTTAATCTCTCTAGGCCTTATTATAACTATATAAATCGTAGTTCTATATAAAGCGACAGATATCTCTAAGTATTTCTAGCTAGAAGAACTAGTGTATTATAAGGGTAGACGTAACCTTACGACCTAAGTAGCCTATTAAGACTAAGTCGTATATATGTTAGATTAGCTTTATATAAAGCTCTTTAGAATCTAGAACCTAGTGCCTACCTTAGAAGAGTAGCTAATTTCCTTAGTCTAAGCTATACTCTATAATTAATACTTTAACTCTAAGTTTAGTTAGAAAGACTTAGTTACCTTAGGCTAACGCCTAGACTATCTTATTATATACTTAATCCTTTATATAAGCTCTTACCTAAAGCCCTTCTAGGCCGCCTTCTGCCTCTAGGGCTATGTACGCTAGCCTGTTACTAGCTAGCGTAGCGCTCTTTATAAGGATAGCGTAGGTCGTCTTTATAGATTATAGACGTAACTTAGTAGCTGTCGTTAATTCTTAGAAGAGAGAGTTCTCTTTAGCTATTACTCTCTACCTTAAGAGTAGCCTGCCTAAAAGGTTAACTAGGTAGCTTAGCTTTAGTAGCTATATTATATAGTACTATAGTCGTTTATCTTCTTAGTTAGACAGTATGTCTTAGTCCTGTTATAATAACGCGTTAGCTATTAGGTTTGTCTTTCCTTTAATGTACGAGATTATAAAGTTATATTTTAACAAGACTAGAGACTACCTTATTTATCGTTTAGTTAGCTTCTAGATAGTTATAAAGTACTCTAAGTTCTTATAGTCTGTACAAATCTTAAAACTCTTAACGCTTTATAGGCTTAAGTCCTACTCTTTAAGACAATAGATAATCGCTAATATTTCCTTATTATAGATCTTGTAATTATACTTAGCTAGATTATTCTTTTTTAAGAAGTATGTATAAGGTTGTACGACTCTCTTATTATCGACCTAGAATAGTATCTTACTTATATACTACTTAAAGAAGTCTGTCTCTAGGATTGTCTTATAGTTATAGTTAAAGAAAGTAAGAATTAGCGCTAATACAAACATCTTCTTTAGCTGTTTAAAGGCCTTCCTAGCGTCCTCTATCTACTTAAACACCTTGTCTTTCTTTATAAGGTCTGTAATTAGGCGTACGACATTAGAGAAGTTCTAGATAAACTTCTTATAAAAGTTTGTAAATCTTAAAAACCCTTAGACTCTCTTAACTATATAAGACACTTCTTAGTCTAGGATAGCCTTAACCTTACCTAGGTCTATCTATATACCTTACTCGGCCTTAATAATAAACCTAAGGTACTTAGTCGACTTAACCTTAAACTTATACTTATTAATATTAAGCTATAGGCCGGCCTTCTAGAGTCTAGCTAGTACCTTTTATACGTGCTTCTTATATTCTTTAAGAGTCCCTTCTAAATAGATTAGGACGTCGTCTACGTACGCTAAGCAGAACTTGTCTAGGTAGTCTTAAAGGGCCTAGTTAATATACTTCTAAAAGGTACTTAGCGTGTTCGTAAGCCTAAAGGGCGTTACTAGTTACTTATATAGGCCGTACCTTATATAAAAGGCCGTCTTTTATTCGTTACTCTTAGCGATCTGTATCTTATAAAAAGCTATAATTACGTCTAGCTTTATAAACTATTTTACCTGTCTAATGTTTTATAAGGTCTTATAGATTAGTAAGAGAAGGTATTAGTCCTTTTAAGTAATCTTGTTTAGCCTCTAGTAGTTAATACAAAACTAGAGTCTACTTCTTAGCTTTTGTACAAAGAGTACTAGAGCTACTACTAGTAAGTTACTAACCTAGATAAATTACTTGTCTAGTAGGTTAGTTAGGGTCTTCTAAAGGACTAATAGCTTGTCTCTTGACATACTATATAAGGGCCCTTATAAGATCTCTTATTCTTTTTTATCTGTCTTCTTAATCTTAATAGCGTAATTAACTAACTTACTATAAAGTAGCGGTAACTTCTTTACTTCTATACGATTAAATAACAAGAGGAACTCCTAGTACTAAGTAAGTAAAAAGAGTTAATAGTCAGACTTCTTCTTAGTAGCTAGGGCCTTCTAGATATTAGCTATACTTGTTAAGAAGACCTAGAGCTTCTTCTTTCTCTCTCTTTATTATACAGTAGACGTAAACCTAGCTAC